TCCTACAGACAGATATGCCTGCCAAAACTAAGTCTTGTCACAAGACTTGAAATAAGCACATTTCCTCATTGATGTCATCACTTCCTGGTTCTAACCAAGGTTTCCAATGAAGTTAAAATATCAACAACTTACTGAACTTTGCAAGAAAAAGCAGTGCAGAATATTATTCTGAAATGTGGAAGTTGGGGCTATTTGTACTTCGTGGTGTGGGTGGACTCCTACTAATTTCATAATAAAGTTCATGATTTCAGATTGCTAAAAGGTAGCTGTTAGATATGAGTTTTAGGACAGGTGTGACTAGGATGCGCTTGCATGAAAGCACAAAACCACTGTTTTCTGAGGAGCTCAGTGTTCACAGCCCTGTTGAGGAGTGTTTCTGATGTGTTGCTCTAATAAATAAGTTGAGCAAGCATATTTTCTTTTATGTTATCAAGGTAATGTACATCTTATCTTAGGTCTAAAATGTGAAGTAAATCTGGAACATTCTTATTCACAAACTTAGATATGAAGACAAAAAAACATATTAAAGATGGTGAACCTGTTGATCTGGATTTGGAGTTCTGTTTGTTCCTTTGTATAAGCGATAGTAGATGTGTTTCACTGGGAAAAAGCCCATGGGGCTGATAGTTGTGCAGCTGCTCCTTCCTCAGCTGCGTGGCATTTTTCTTAATAGTCTGATCATAACGCATTTATTGAGCTCATTTTATAAGGAAGCTGTATGAGTTATTTTTAATGTTAGGGTGATACCTAAATGCGTTGCTCCTAAGCCCAAATTTCTGTTATTCGGAATGTATGCATCCAGGAATTCTATAAATGTGCAGATGCAGCCTGCTTGTCATGCTTTGTGCTTGCAGGAGGACTGCAGGGCTGGTGCTGTCTCCCAAACCTTGGCTGCTTCGTTTGTTGCAGGCTGTCAGGAGTGCTTTGCCCTTATTTCACCTGTGACTTTTTTTTTTTAATTTGATAAATAGGGAACAGTACTTCATTCTCAGAGAGCACAGTAAGTGATCGCAAACCGCCTCGTTTCAAACACACCTGGCTCAACTGAGGAATTGCTTAAAATCAGTTTTTTATCCCCTTCCACCACAAACAAAAGTCACAATCTAACAAGTGCAGATTAAATAATCTTTATTAAGGCTGGAGCTAAGGATGTTAAATGGATTTCTATTGGTTTTGTTTTCCTCAGTGTTGAAACTGCGAGTGGTTGCTTCAAGTGTGGAAATCTTACTAGGTAGTGCCACTAGCCTGAAATCTAACCATTTAATCTTGTGAATGCAGCTCAGGTACCAGTTCTGAATTGTTGTTTTGCCTGCGGATGCTGTACTTTGAATTAGCTTGTAGCAGCAACTGCTCTCAGGGAAACATTTATGCAGAATGTAAATGAAGTGCTTATCTGAAGGCATGGCCCCATGAGTTAGCTTGCACACGGTAAGCCAAGCTCCAATTTGCATCATTGGCAACTTGCACATGATCCAGCTTCAGTTACTGTGCAAGTGTACTCATATTGCACTGAAGGGTAAATTACTGGCTTGCATTTCTTGGAGGATAAAAGTAAAGACATTGGTAAAGTGGAGTAGCTAATAAGGCATGAATAAATCTGCATGTCTGTCGTGCAGTGATTTGTTCTGTAGCCATTACCTCGTGGTGCTCGAGGCCATGAAGCCAAGAATGCTTCATCCGATGCGTACTTTCCTCAGTGTTTCCATCTCTGTGCTGCCTTAGTTGTCAGTGAACTGAGTTGGGTTGGAATTAGACCTTTGCAGGTGCTGGTGGAAAGAACAGCACTGCCAAAGCTCTCCTCAGATTGTTATTACTACAGAAAAATAGGTTCTTAGCTGTGTTTTCAGAATGTTAAGTATGTGTCAATTTGAATTAGAAATAATGGTCAGCAAATGTGAAACTTGGGGCGTGAATATATATATATATATATATATTTTTTTTTTTTCCAAGCCTGTATGGATACTTGTATGGTGCTTAGGGAATTGGTCTAATGTTTAGCCTCACTTTATAATCTCTTCAATAGCATAAGTGGTGGAAGTTGTTTTTGTAAGGGTTGTGCCCATTCAAGTGCTGGACAGCCTACAGTGTGTCCTCTGGTAAGGGCAGCCTTCAAACCCAAAGTGGGTCTCTGTCTTCATCTGTCCAGAACTTCATTGTCTTCAGCCTTGATTTATTAGACTCCTATAAGGCACTACTTTTATTTTAAATAGATTTCGAGTTTCTTATCTTGTTTTTTGGCCAGGTTTGTCTTTGGTTTCTGTTTATCCGCTGTCCTTTCTCTTGACCCAACTGGATGTTGGGTTATACACGTGGAAAGGAAATAAGTGGTTTTTTAAAATAGTACTTTTGTGAATTTTATCTTGTGGATTTTTAAAATATTTTTAATAATAGGACACAGATTAATTTCTGAACCTGCAAATTCTGTCACTAGCTTTTTCCTGCCTTTGTAATCCAGAGACTGAGTACTATACTACTTAGTGTCAGTAGTGCTGTCACTTCAGTAGAAAATACCCCGCTAGCTTATTGCAGCTTCTGTTGTCATCTGTCATTGTACCCACAGACGTGCCGTATTTCTCTGAAAACATGGAGTGCAGTGCAGAGAACTGAAGTAGACAATACTCATTTGGGTGTTTTCTGCAAATCCTGGGCAATGATTTTGAGCTCCATATATATTTAGTGAGGATTTCAGCATCCGAGCGTGACAATTCATGTGCCTCTCTCCTGAATCCTCAAATGTGCATCCTGTGTGAATTGTATGACTTAATGCTTTTGCATCAAGTGACAGAGCCAGCTGTATTGGGAATTGGTTTTGGGGCAAAGTATTTCACAAACCACTCATAACATCCTGAGATCTCAGGAAATAGGAGTGTGGTGGCTGGAGAAAGCTAGCTGGTCACCTGACCAGAAGTTAATCTTGCCATTTGTCAGCACTTCTATTAAATAGGAAAGCTATTTTTAAAGTGCTTGTTGCCAGCGTGGCTGCAAAATTAGAACAAGCAGGAAAATGGGTTTGGTTTTTTAGTAAGAAGGAAGTACTTTGGGCAAAATGCCACTTCAGCTTATCTTAGGAAGTATATATGGTTCAGGAGCTCTTATTCTCAGGCTTCTCTGTGGAGGGAGGTTCCTGGTAGAAATAAGTGGATGATAGTATCCCAGTCTCATGGGCTGCGTGGAAGAAGCAGCTCTGAACACACTTTGCTGCAAAAATTGAAGTTTGCCTTCCTTTTTACTGATGTAGAAATATGTGGTGAATTATTCCATGTGCTGGACAATGTCCCACAACGCAGCAGGTCCAGGCAGCATTGCATTGATCACTGAACTCTTGAACATAAGCTTAATCATAACTTCTGATATAAATTTTGCCAACTTAAATGTCCTGATTTTAATGATGCAGCGCTGTTCTTTACCCATGCCCCTATCGTTTTGTTATTCAAAATAGTTAAGTGCTTAATGAGTTGTGAAAACAACTGACTGCCTTTAATTGAGCTGATCAGCAGGCGTTGGTTTTCTAAAATGGTTTTCATTTCTGGCTCGTGTTCAGTTTTGAAGTTGTTTCATCTTGAGTTTAAGCTTCTTAAATATCAGATACTGTGAACATGAATGCAGATTTTTCTCACCTGTATCAAGCAGTTTTAACTGGAAAGTGTTGCAGTTCTTTTTAGGGTTTAAAATTAGTGTTCAGAGTGATTTTAAGGCTGCTTTTGTTCCAAGTCTATCCATTGTCACCCATAAACTTCTGTATTCTGCAGCTTAGTTAATGTAATAGGAAATGAGCATATATAATCAAATTAGCTTTTGCTGCCTTGCATTCTGCAGCATCTTTGTTGTACCAAAATGAGATGTGGTGTAAGGAAGTTTTTTCTCCAGGAAAGAAGAGAAATATCTCAAAAAGCTTCTTGGCATATTTTCTTTATTTTCCACATTGTATGCCATATTGTTTTATTTTTGAAGTTGAATATTGAGTCTTTTTATTAGTTATTATTAGCTGTTACTTGGATAGCTTCTTTGCTAATTGTAGTTTCAATGTAGTAAGTGAGCATGTCTATAAAGTTTAGTTGAGTATACAAGAACTGATGTAGAAGTGTATAAAAAAGCATCTTTAGAATCTTTAGAGCGCCTTTGGGAGTGTAACTATAGAACTACCTTCCTCCTTTGGAAGAGGTAACTGTTTTGAGATTTTCAATGCTTTCCTCAAATGTATATCTTTTTTTAATGAGAACTTCCACCAGTAGACTAAGCTGGGCATAGAACATGCCCCTCAAGACCTGGCCTCCAATCTGCCGCTCCCTACTTGTCGCTGTTACACTTCTGGGTTGTTGTTTCTCGAGTTGGTGGCTTCCTTAGCACATACACATGGTGCTTGTAGGCAGAGGTATTGGTGCTCCCAGCTCTGTACCTTGATTGCTGAGCGATCCACTCCTGGTAGAAACTGGCACAGAGTCTTTTGTAGTCTAAGAGCAGTGAATTCCAGTTCCCTTCTGAACAGAAGTGATAGCTTGGTTACTGCATAAAAGCTGGCATCATCTTCCTCAGTGAGCCTATCATTCATACTTACAGAACAGTACAAGCAGTCAGTTGCAGGGGACGTTTTAAGGCTACAAATCCTTGTCTTGTATGGGTGCCTTAGAAACGTATGCTACTCATTCCCTGCGTGGCTGCTTTAGGTATATAAATTCAAGGAGGCAGGATTTCGAGTCCATCACTCTTCAGAACTTCTCTGTCGGCTATTTTAGGTAATTTTATGCTCAGAGTAACAGTTACTTCTGGATCTGATGCTTCAGTTGCTGTGGAAAGATGTTAAGTAATGTGGATTTGTCTTCTGCTTTGAAGTGAATATTTACCCCCTTTCTCAACCTTTGTCCGAAGCATTTCCTTTACACAGGGTCCTTCATATTGCAGAAGCTCAGAAGTTTCGCGTAGATGTTTGTGGTGATGCTGGTTAACTGGAAGCAGCTAAATGTGTTTGGTGCTCTTTTGCAATAATTCTCTTCTTCTTCTAGGACATCAACATCTGAGAAATGAATAAATTACGGCAGAGCTTTAGGAGAAAGAAAGATGTCTATGTGCCGGAGGCCAGTAGGCCTCATCAGTGGCAGACCGATGAAGAAGGCGTTCGTACTGGCAAGTGCAGCTTCCCTGTTAAGGTAAGAATTTCTGTCTTTCTTTTGGGTATCCTTGGGGTATTTTTGCCATGAATTATTATTTGGGGTTTTTTGGCAAGCAGGAGCGAGAAGTATGCTTCATTGCACATTGACCTATTTTACGGTCAGCCTTCATTGCAAAGGATGTGGCTTTTTTTTTTTTTTTAAGCCAGATGAATCATCTTAACAAATGCCTTGGAAAGTCATTGTCTGGTATATCCTACATTATTACTTAGTTGAAATAAATCATGTAGCTAGGCAGAGGAGTAATATAATTCGTCTTCATTTCTCTGGAAGAGCAGAAATGATACACCTCATGGATTGCATAGAAGAAATACTAGATTCTATCAGTTGAAATGAAGTTACAGTTACGGTTTTATTCCTAAGATAAGTGGTGGCTTATGCTTGAGAAGTATAACCCCTCCCTTTAGAAAGTTGGAAATGTTGTGAAGAAACACCCCAGCTTCCTTCCAGTGCTTGAGGTATTAAGCACTTATAAATTTTGAATGTGTCTTCTGTTATTTTTTTGGTGTGTGTTACAGATTATTCATGTGTGTGAAATTAAAATTGCCTTTATCAATTCCTTGAACAATTTCAAATTTGCAGTACTATAAGTAGGTTTTTTCATTTATTGTCTCATCTTTTCCAAGAAGTAACACATTTTTAATGTTTATTTTATATTTAATGTTACTAGGAAGAAGGAAGGAAGGAATTTAAGGTGCTTTGCTGTATCTGCTCAGCTTGTAATCAAAAACTGTTCCTGAAGACATATTAATACTATTTCTACGGTAGATTGTAAATAGATGATATTTATTTGAGCTGTTAATCGTTAGATTTCCATATCTATGAGGAAAATGCTGTCTGTGGTTCTGACACTTGAGAATTCTTTATTCCTGGTGTAATAATGATGTGCAATTATGAAACAGGTGATGTTGCTAGATGAAGCTCTTGAAGTTGGCTGTTAAATATTTTTGTAAAGTTATGGGTACTCTATAAAGGTGGAAGAATGTTGATACTATGTTCGTGTTATCTTGTTACAGTTGCTTGTGTGTGCTTTTAATGTATTCTGTGGGATATACAATGCGCAAGCTAACTTTCTTGTTTGCTATGGTTGCTTGCCTGCCCATTTATCTCTGTCTTACGTTAGTTTTCTGCTAGAATGAAGGAATTGTAATCTAATACTAAAGAGAGATGGTATTGTGCCAGAGCTTTGAAATTGAGTAACTGCTTTGTGGAAGCTTGAACTTAGATTAGGCTTTTCAAAATGTTAATGCTGTATAGGAAGGAATAGAATTGTGAGCTTGAAGATCATCATTTTAATAGTCTTACAGTAGACTATAGTCTTAGACATAAGTGCTAAAGCTAAAATATTACACTCTGAATATTTAGGCATTTAGTTTAACTCGAAGTATTTTCAGTCCTCGACTGAACATAAAAGATGTGAACCACTTTAAAGACTGACTTTTGTGTTGGTTTTCTTCTTTAAACTCCTGGTCAAGACTTGCACTTACAATGACAAATGCTTCCTGTATTTAAATGAAGCATTCATCTATTCTGGGCACATGCACCCAAAGTTGAAAAAGGTTTTGGACCGTTCAGTGGTGAAAAGGCATAGAGATGGATGAGTTGTTGCATCCTGTCCTTGGGCTGGAACTTGTTTAGCCCCGTTTTCCTGCTTTGTATTAGAATTCACTGAGTTAATTAGGTCGTTGGAAAACAGCTCTGAAGTAAATACATCTTTATTTGTGTTTCTTGATTCCATCAGAATATTTGCCACTTATGTTTGACAATTTTGCATTTAGATGAAAGCTTAAAATCAGAACCATTGGACACTGAGGTGCTTTTGTTTATGCAGTTTGAATGTATCTTCCAAACTTCAGAGTCTGGAGAAGGGCAGTGGTGGAAAGTGTTTATGGGCTTGAGATGCAAAGTGGGTGTTAGCTGGTGTTTTGTAGATACAGACAGGAAGTATGGCATTGTGAGGGAACAAGATAAACCAGATGTAGAGTCAGAGGTTTAGTGGGTGGTACTGCATTTTGCTCACAAAAAGAATGGAACTTTGTGCTATTGAAGGAGAGTATCCTGTTACACAGTTCTTGGGCATTATTCAGAAGTCTGTGTATTCCTGGAAAAGTGGGCTGTTGCCCTGTCTTTAAACATCTGATGGAGTGTCTTTTCTTCCTGGTGTTCCTCAATGCAGCAAAGTAAAATGAGATATCTTACTAAGAATAGTCAACTAATAGGAGTGCATTCTGAAATATAATGAAAACTACCTTTTTTTTTTTTTTTTTTGTATATCCCTGTTTAGCATTCCAGCATGGTGCTGTAGTTGCCTGTAGCTTCTCAACCACAGTTTAATGTGTATCTGTGGGGATTAATCCATCCTTATTCTTTATGTTCTGCCTTGCCTGCACTCCCTAAAAATCATCTGCCCTAGTTCCTAAAAGCTCAGAATGTAGCTGAGTAGCAAGATCAAAGTCTGACTTTTGAAACAGTGTCTAAGATTTTAGCTGGTGAAGACCCAAGAAGTGTTAACAGATATTCTGTAGCTGTCTTTAAGGTTTTCTGTATGAAAGGAAAATACAGAAAAGTTTTGGAATAGAAGCCATGGTCAGAGCTTTGTTTCTTATAATGCTTGCTAACTTACTTAGGTAGGATTTTTTTTGAGAGAGAGAGAGAGAAGACTAATGCAAACAAACTCTTAGTTCTCTTGTAAAAGGCGTCATGAAAGTTTGATGTGAGAAAGATATATCACTCTCTTAAAATAGCGTTAAGTTGGTGTGTTTAACTTCTTGCCTTCAGGCATTTTTTTGGCCCAGACCTGGGGTGTTTGTAGAGTGCTAGCACAGATTTATCCTTTTTTAGATTTTAGAGAGTATGTGGAACCACTTTGAAAGTCAACATTGCAAATAGGATTTCTTTTTGCCTCCAGGCTCTGTTCTGTTAGTGTTGGACAGGACTCCAGTAGCTGTTCATTCATTGTGCTTTGAGGATGCTGTATTGCAAACAAGTTCAGTGTTACTAAGTTGTTTTACATTGGTACTGCTCTTGAAGTTCTTCCTGTGCTGCATCCACGGCTGATTCTGGTTAATTATAGTCTGGCAGTGGGTTTTGAGCAACTCTGATGCACCTATTGTACAACTGTGTTTTGGTAGAGAAGGTGCTCCATGGAAAGTATTGGTAAAATTCCTGTGCCATTGTTGCCTTAAAACTCAGGGAAGTAGATGTGATGCAGTTTGTTCTCTTCAGTGCTCTGCTCATAAGTTCAGAGCTTATGATAATCCTGGGGTCGTACTGTTACTTCTAAGTACTGACACCTTGCTTTCGCAGTCTGTATTTATCCACTGTTTTCAGAATGTCTGCGTTGCATGCAACAAGCTGCTGATCACGTGTTCTCAGTTGTCCAAGTGTGTGTAGGATCTTACAGCCAGCCCTTGTCTGTATTTGGAACCTAACCACACCTCAGGAGGTTATCTGACACATTCAAAACAGGGCCTTGGAACAGTTAGTGACCTGCCTGCTCTGCTCTTTCATCTGTCCTCTTTTGAATCAGCTGAAGTTGCGCTGAGAAAAGAGCCTTTGTACCAGAATGTGAAATGAATGGCTTTCTGCACTCCACTACGTCAGCAGAGAGACAGGTGCATGTCTAACAACAAAGGTACAAAAAGGTATTGGAGTTGTATTTGGGTATTAGCTGTATTTAGCTACAAGGGTAGCTTGCAGACTTCTACTACCTCATTAGGCAGTAATTTTAAGGCTGTGCTGACTCTTGTGGTGTGGAGACATGATACACTGCGTCTTTTATAGTTGTACTCAGAGCCATTTCTTCATTAAGTGTGGAACTGTTAAAACTGCTGAGAAATCTGTACAAAAATGTATTTTCAGAGGTGACAATCATCTTCCCCTGTCCTAGCAACTGGAAAAGTAACTTTTTTGTTTCAGTAGTGAAGCTTCTGAGGGAGGGAGAAAACTGTGCCAGATAGATATAATGTATAAGGGATTTAGGTTTAGGTATTTGCAGCTATTCAGAAGATTATTCTCACAGACATTAATGCTGCTCTTGTTGGTACTATGATTTATTTTTATACAGTCTTTGTAAATGATAATTGTCAAAAATGAAGTGCATTGACATACCCATTTTGAAACTTGGGTTCTTGCTGTAGACACTACCTCACTGAGAGCATGCAGCTGTTCTATGTTTTAATGACTAAAATATTTGACACTAGGGCTTCTTTTGTCTGAAATGCCTTTTCAGATGTCCTCTGGGTAAGTAGTTTTTGTCCGTACGGATAATCTGTAGAGTAACTGGCCTGTTAAATTTGTATCAGGAAAAAATAGGTCACTTCGCTCTACTTAACAGAATTAAACAAAACATTTTCCAAGTTCTTGGTTGTTCTAACCAACCAGACACGTTAGAACATTTACAACTGATTCCTCCTACCCGTGCTTCTGTTAGGTGCAACAACTAGATGCAGATGTGGGTGGTTGAATTAATTCTGTTGTCACTTTTGAGTTTTTGGGGGTCTGTCTCTTTTGACTTTGTGTCTTAAATGTTGCCTGTCACCTGCAAGTCTACTTGTGTGTGTATTTCAGTCCATTTATTCCAAATGGAAGACTAAAGTTATCAATGAAAGAAGTCCTTGGGGAGGAGTGACGTAGTGCATCTGTGATTCAGGGTTTGCTGCTGAATGTATCGTATCGTGTGAATTAGCTTTTCCACTGAGTCTTGATTTTTCTCGGGTAGTGTTGACAAATAAAAGCCATATGGATACAGTTGTACAGTCATGTAGGAGAACTAACATTTCAACACTCTTCAACTGTTTCATTTCTCTCCCTTGCTTTGGTGGTAGGTGTTTGGAAGGCTCTGTATTGCTTTGTGCCAGTGAATTAATATATTAATTATAATTTAAAAAAAAAATGCAGAAAAGAGATTAACTATCTCTGAACTTTGTAGGATATCACCTCTGGGACCTGTGAGTGCCAGCTCGTGTCTCTGGGATCCC